AGCACCCCCCCCCTTAGTTGTGCCTATGGACTTTAACCTTTCCACTAATAGCCGTGATAAACAAAAACACTTATAATATAAACTATGCTGCATTGAAAAATTATCCTTCTATACCTATTATAATATCTATAAAATAAAGTTCGAATTATATTGGCTTTTTAAATTTATACACGAATTTACAATTTTATTCCAATTTGGATGAAACTTTGCATATTTGACATTCAAAATAAGAGGAAGATTAATATCTACTTTTTATTTCGAAATTCAACCTCTAAAGAGTTGCACAGAGTTTTTTTTGTATTTTTGGAATTAAAATTAAACTTTTTTTCCTGACCCCGAATTACCCGATAGTATTTCCCGGTTTCAACTTTATCTCTATCACAGTTAGTAGCCGTTGATAGGTAATATTTATCTTTTAAAAAGGATACTTACTTGTCCGTAAAAATTAAATAAATTAAATAAAATATAAAATATATATATTAAATGCGCAAGAGCTTATATATAGTCACATTCAATATAATATTAACCTGTCGTCACCTGCACTGATTTGGAAAAAATCCGCAGAAACCTAAATATATTATCTGTTGTTTATTAAAACTCAGCCGTAGTTGGTGGCAGTAATGACGATAAACTATTATAGTATTTTATACAGAAATTATTATTTTTATATAGTTTACCGTTTAATTAAATGTTACCTTGAGCGTTCGTCCATATCATTTTCATAGTTTGTCTTAGTTTCAAACGCTACAACACAATTGGTAACGTCGATAATACGTGTCGGTTAAAATACTGTTGGCTGAAATACGGTTCGAATTAAATACGAGTTGGCTAAAATACTGTAGTAATACAAAAAGGAGGGGGCGGGGAATAATAATATGATATACATAATAATAGTCTAGATAACGTTTATGACCTCGGCGATAAACCTATACTAATTGATGATCTTGACCGTTCGTCCATATCATTTTCATAGTTTGTCTTATTTTCAAATGTATTCAATTGTATTTTCAAATGTACGTAACTATACTATTAGACTCGTATATTAATACTAATCCAATAATTGCTCCAAATAATTGTTCTGGGGTTGACATAATTCGTGAAATCCATGATAGAGATGTCAAATCTCGTATTATAATATAATTATATTTAACATGGATGAATCTGTTAGTGATATTGATTCGCTGGCGGCGAAGCTCATTAATAAGTTACATATAGACGCTAATATATCCGCTGTCGCCCGTCTCAGCAAACAGTATATTAAACCAAGACTAATAAAAATAATATTTGATAGTTCTAAATCGATCATAGATGTTTTAAAATCAAAAAAGTCACTCAATCAGTGGATCAACAGATCCATTATGGAATAATGTTTGTATTACGACAGATCTCACGCATTACCAAATGAAAATGTTACAATATTTAAAAGCTGAACGTGATAAAAGAAACAGCTCGGATAATGGAAATTAGTTTATCAAGTATATTCGCGGTTCACTAACTCTAGCTTAAAAAAACTAATTCACGGCTCAAGTCCATCTCACTGTCGAACATCATGTAACATACTAAACTCTATATGTTAATAAAAATTACAATTTTAATAATAAGGTTAATAAGGATCTCATAAAATATAATGAATTTTCCCGTATACGTGCCTTATGCAAAATAGAAACCAAAAAGTGTCGTACCTAATACCTACATAAAATTCAGTCAGATCTCACTTCTGATCCCAAATCTTTTTGGCGTTATATCAAGTTTAAAATTACATAAAAGAATACCTGATACAATGGAGTTTGATAGTAGATCTTCGACCGGTGAGAATGCGGTATTAAATTTATTTAAGTCATTTTTTAGCAATGTCTATTATATTCATAGTATAAATGGGAACGACTGTGTTAGTGACATTAATAATAATTCTTGCACTAGTCACTTGACAACTATTAAGCTATCAATTGGAGAGATTTTTCAAATCCTCAGTTCTCTTGATTTAAAACCGTGGCCTGAGCCAGATTGGCATCTCTAATATCTTATTACGTTCTTGTAATTCGTTATGTGTTCCTATCCATAAATTCTTTAGTCAGTCATTACTTAAAGGTGTATTCTCGATCAAACGAAAAAATAGTTTTATCACCCCGATTCATTAATCAGGTAATAAAAACTTGATATCTAATTATAAACCTATCTCTAAATTATCTACATTGCCTAAACTACTTGAAAAGTTAATGATGCCTTGGTTAAATTTTTATTTCAAAAACATAGTTAATACCACTCAACATGGTTTTATGAAAGGTCGTTCAGTTGAAACAAATCTTGTTTGTTTCTATAATGCTATATTAAAATCCATCGAATTCGGTTATAAAACTGATGTAATATACATCGATTTCAGTAAAGCATTCGATTCTGTAAACCACTTTCTACCATTAGCGAACCTACGTTTGTACAGTATTTCCGATCCTTTGTTATCCTGGTTTAATTAAAGTTACCTATTAAATAGAATCCAACAACTTAAGATTAATGGTTTTTTGTCAGATCCCTTTCCTGCTTCCTCGGGCATTTCTCAAGGTGGCCATACATCTCCTTTACTGTTTGCCATCTTTATTATGGATATTGGTTCTTGTTTTAGTTATTGTTATCACTTACTATTCGCGGACGACTTCACATTTTTCGCTAATGTTTCTTTAACCGATGATTGTACTCTTATTCAAAAACACCTTGTTAAGTTATATGATTGGTGTCTTGATAACGGTATGAAATTAAACACTTCTAAATTTTTAAAAATGTCCTTCACCCGTTTCACACGGAGACCGCGGATGGCATAAGACACCAGACGCGTTACTCTTAATAGTAATCACTTCTTTGGATTATCCCAGTGAAAGCACTCATTTGTTGTTCGCTTACTCCGACCATATTTTTTTTTCCAAATCTATACAGCCGTTGCACAATATATTGCCATCGATTGACTTGAGTATGGATTCAATATATGGCAGTCCATTGTTGTCAGTCGAGATAAACGATTGTCTGTACTTGTATGGTATTTAGCACATTCAAATACAAACTCATGGTTGCACTCAAAGAAATCCACATATATTTTCTAGGTAGAATACAATTAGTGTCAATTTATTCACACTAGCTATACAATGATACGTTGGTTAGCGATTCGTTACACTAAACGAAGATTTACTCGCAAGTCGTTACTTATATTAACACGTTCGTGGTCAGTTGTAACTAAGTGACTTCCCTATTATTAACTATGTTTTCGACTTTTTATTGTTATTCTTATTACTTGTTCTTAAATAGAAAACATTTTACTTTAACATTTTACAAACCAGTTTATCTCATAAGTCTGTTTAGTTGTTTATAGTAAGTTTTTGATACATTTGTAAACTTATAATTAAAGTTGTTAGTCGTAAAATTAATTATACAAATTTGTAGAATATGAAACTTAGTGATTTCATTTCAAGGATAGTAAATACTAGAGTATACAAAATATAAATTCAAAAATATATTAATATTAAATAAATAACAGTCAAATTGTTCTTAACTGTCTCTAATCAGTAATCAAATTAAAAAAATTTAATTAAATTATAAAAATTATTTTATGTACATTCATTTCTAAACAATAATGCCAAAATTATTGCATAAAACTTCAGATAATTTGTTTATACAAACATAATAATAAATACAATAGGATAATGAATTATATTTTTTACAAATATATGCATGCATTAAATAAATAAACATTTATACATATAAAACAATTTCATAATAATAAATACTAATTCAATATTTATATTTAAACATTATGTTTAAAAAAGAAAAAGTTATTACTAAAATCATAATCTTAAGTCATTATTAAAATATGATTAAACAACAAAATAATATTAACTGAATTAAATCAATGGGAATAGGAACTAAAATTTGAACATTTATTAACTTCCAAATTTTGGAAATGTTTTAAAATTTAAATATGATGAATTAAAAACAATATTAACATTCACTTGAGGAAAACATCGATAATATTGTTGGGAATTATGCTCCAACTTCTGAAAATAAAATATTTTGTTTGTTAAATTATTATATTTATATATAATAGTATTAGTCATAAGTGAAGAACAACAATGAATAATTTCAAAGGATGATCTTTGCTTTTAATAGTTTTTTTTTTTTTTTTGTAGCTACTTATACCAATACACGTTAACAGACAAATGTAATTGAAGGAAAATCGATTAGGTGAGTTTTAACATTTTAACATTATTTATCTCGTATGATAGCTATTATATTATTACTGTACCATATTTTATGGTGTTATCACATAAGTTTAAAAGTGAATCCTAATCTAACAACACTTTAGTTAGCAAGTTTTCTACCTGATAGTGCTAAAATGCCGAATACAGAAGGCCGTAAGACGTATACCATATTTCTATTAGATAATAACTTTTAATATGATATACTATTGATTTATTTTTTATACTATTTTACTTTATTTTTATTTTAATATCTGTTAAAAATTTTAATTTAATAATTAAAAAATAATATGCAAGTATGTGAGGTACTTAAAAAAAAAAAAAATACCAATATATTTCATTGAATGAAGAACCCTCTTCAGATTTCTATTCCTACAACCAAATTCAGAATAGATATTTTGTCTAATGAAATCACACAATATGCCTACTTAATGCTACCTGGTGATTGTGAAGCGTATGTGCCGACAAAATAGTACTCATTTATTTTTCTTGAGTACAATTAAGTGATAACACTGTTTTATCAAATAGTGTTTTTATGTCATAATGTGTATATTATGTATAGGGCTGTCCTATGAGACTGTGGTTCTATCCATGTATTAATTATCTATGTGTATTATGTAGTGTACTATATAATTACTTCTAAAAAAGTGATTCAATAGATCTGAAAATCTATCATGGTGAATTTAAATATTAAATAATATTTCTTACTTGTCATTGATGACTGCACTAACAAAAACATGGACATCTTGTTAAATATTTAGGTCATTTTTGAGCATACACCGTGACTAAAATTAAGGTAAAATAATTTTGTTCAAATAAATATCATGTAAAAAGAAAAATCATAAATAATTATAAAATGAAGGGCTATGATATTTAGTATTTACCAGAATTAGCTTGATTTGGCGTGTTTTGTATTTGTCCATCGGGCAAACCTGGCGAAACCTATAAATATCAAGATGATAAGTTTCATAAATATTAAAAGCCGCATTGTTGTTATCAGAAAATTGACGAGAAACAAGCAGCATTTTTTTTTTTTTTTTTTTTTTTTATGTTCTGATCATCACAAGAAATCTATTTGTTCACAGTTCATAATGTCCTGTGCACGATCTTAGAAGATATGGTTTGATGAATAGTCCCTAGTTATACCCTTACTAAAAGATAATTATAGTTCAAATTTTACTCACAACTGTGATGGTCTACTGCAGTATATACTTATTTAAGATAATAATAACTTAATAATAAAATTTTAATACCATAAATAATAAATTACCATAATACAAAAATAATAAAAACGCAATAGAGCTTTTAATAATTTGACTAAACTCAAATAAACATAATCAGTAGCATCAGTGAATAAAATTTGAACTATTTCTACCTCAATAAGCAATATTATGTAGGCTGAGAAGAGTCTGGTATTAACTTCATAGACCGTGGTTCTGAGTCATTACCACCCCTGATTATTAGTATGTGTACGAGCAATACAATTTGCATTAACTTGTATTAGATTCTGAGTGGAGTGAAGAAGCTTATAGTTTTACAAAGATGTTTTTTTTTTTTCTGTGGACATCTTTTCTACCAGAAATCTTGCTCCTATTTTTAAGTGTATCACCTTTTCTCAAAGAAAATCTGACAGAGAAGGTACTTTAAGGATATCATTTTTCAATTTTCTCAGGAGTTTTCTCATTAAATATAAAAAAAACTGGGAAAAAACATGGAAGAATCAGAAAAAAGATAGGAAAAACAGGAAAATCGTTACTTTAACCAAATATTATTAAAGAAAATATAATAATTATTTTATAATGTTTATTTAATTATTTTACCATAATGACATATGTACATTACTATCAACTGAATTCTGTTCAGTATCATTTTTTCGTTAGCAATGATTTATTATTGCTTACAGGTATTAATACATTGAATTACCCAGAGCAGTGGCTGCACCCATTCCCATTATCTTAGGACAGCTTTTTTACTGTTGTAATCAAAATTTAGTTACAACTTTATTATAAAATGTAACAATGTAATATAACTTTTTGGTAGGTTATAAATAATAAAATATGAAATTTAGGCAATACTCATCATACTACTGATAGTCTAGGTTAGTTGGCTTCACCCAATAACAAATAATATCCTTAATTTGTTAAAAAATACCAAACAGGTAGGTCACAGTACTTGTAATTCTAACTTCAAAGATAGTAGTGAGCATTCACAAACGTGTTTACAGATGTTATGTCATTAATACGTCAAGAAGAGTGAACAATACTTTCTCAGATAATCTATTTATGTTTTTTAATGAATAATTTATAATCTTTTAGATAAAGAATAATGACAGCTACGCCTAAACACTTATTCTATACAGTAAAATGGGAAGAGAAAATACATACACAATTTATTAATCTGTGAATTATACTTATTAAATATTTGTTTATATCTCCGACAGATGGTTTTATTTTGATATGTATCATATTATAATGTAAAACTGACAATTCAAATAGCACACAATTAAATACTCCTGACCGGAATTGCTAAACTAATTTAAAATGGAGTAACATTAGTATTTATTAAAGTAACGCAACATTTTTAACATCCCCATCATTATTTTTTCAATCAATATATTTATTTGTTACTAGTATATTTGATATTTATTTCTTTATTATTTCAAGTTACTAAAAACTTATACCATACAAAAAGTATAATAAAAAAAATGTTTACTCATAATAATGACTTGTGTTCACTATGAATTTTTTTCAATCTAGAGAGTTAGCAGTTCTCACACGACCTTACCATGACAAATTAACTGCCGATTTATATAGCCCTGGCCCTCCATGGGTAAGAATTGTGGAGGGCTACCACCACCACCCTCCATTAGTTTTTTTTTAAAATTTTTTTGAATTTGGATAAAATATATTTACTTATTTGTTTAGCTTTATGTTCGGAGAATTAATTTTGAATACATTGTGAATTATGTTTTATATATTTTGTTCTAATAACCACTTAAACAAGCATTTTCTATCAGCATCAGGTGATCCCCATTTGTAAAACAATTTCGTGCTTCTGCAAAATTGATTTACATTCTTAATATATAAGATAAATAAAAAAACAGATTTATACCTGACATGTGTTAAATTTGTTTTTATAAATTACTTTTAGTAAAAATTGAAAAATAATTTAAATAAAATAAATAATTATTACCTTATCACTGTAATCAGCCGGCAGTCCACTTTTTTTTTGAGCTGTTTCTGCATGTGGGTGATAACTGCCTGTAGACATCTGATTAGGGTTGTAATTATAATTGTGGTTACAAACATTTTGATCTAATGTGGCAGTATTCATTACACTGGAACTTGATGAAGTAGCATTTGATACAGTATTGTTTGATGATGGTTTTGGTGTGGGATATATCGTTAAATTTGGATATCCAGATAACGGATTTACAAAAGAAGAATCATTTTGATTTCTATTATAGTTCAAAGACGAATTATTACCATTGTCATATGTAAAGGAATTATGTGGTGAATTGCAATGTGCGTTACAATAATTAGATGATAATTTATTGCTATTTGTTTGATTGTTGGGTGGTGGTTGTGTATTATAATTATATTGTGTGATATTTAGCGACATTGTGTTATTATATGCTAAGTTTGTAAGACGTCTATATAGCTCAGAGGTTAAAGCACTATAGGGCCGAGTGTTCGTAGCACTATAGGGCTGAGTGTTTGTAGCACTATAGGGCTGAGTGTTTGTAGCACTATAGGGATGAGTGTTTGTAGCACTATAGGGCTGAGTGTTTGTAGCACTATAGGGCTGAGTGTTCGTAGCACTATAGGTCTGAGTGTTCGTAGCACTATAGGTCTGAGTGTTTGTAGCACTATAGGGCTGAGTGTTCGTAGCACTATAGGATAGGGCTGAGTGTTCGTAGCACTATAGGACTGAGCATTTGGAATACTGGGAGACAGAGTGTTCATAGCACTATATGGCTGAATGTTCATAGTATCATTAGTACCATAAATCTGAGTGTTCATAGAACTATAGGGCTGAATGTGCATAGAACTAGAGGGCCGAGTGTTTATAGAAGGCTGAGTGTTTGTAGCACTATAAGGTTGAATGTTCATAGTATTATAGATCTGAGAATTCACAGATCTAAAAGACTGAGTCTTTGTAGTATTACAAGAATGAGTAGTCTTAGGAATAGAAGGCAAAGTGTTGATAGAAGTAGAAGGCCAACTGTTTATAGCACTATAAGGATAAGTGTTAATAGCAGTAGAAGGCTGAGTATTAACATTATTAGAATCCTGTGTTGAAGATATATGCGAAGAATTTAAATTTGAAGCAGAAATGTTTTTATAATAAGGACTCAAGTTTTTAGAAACTACATTGTCATATGTTAGATCAAACTTTTGAGGATTATTTCCAACTTGATAATATACTTCTGGTGAACACAGTGCCTCTTTTTGCCATTTAGAACGTCTTTTCTTTTTTATATTTTTATCGTTTGTTTGTTTTATTTCTCGATTTTTTTCCCTTGAATTGGTAATATTATTTTTCTTCACTGTTTTTTTGTTAATTTCACCTATTATTGTTGGACTTTCACAGTTATTTTTAGTTGTATTATCATTGTTATTCTTTGAAAACAGTTCTGGTAGTAATTCTAAATTTATACCAAAAGTGGGGTTTTTAAATGTATTTGAAATACTGAATTGGGAAGGTACATTAATTTTAATATTTTCTGGAACAGAACACACATTTATACATTCTACTTCTATCTGATCTTTAGATCCTGTACAACAATTTTCTTGTTTTTGAAGATGTTCGATTGTTAACAATTCATCCAAATCAATACTATTGTTTTTAATTACTACAGTTTTACTAGTATTTCCTTCATTACTACAGTTAGAATTTAATTTAATTTTTTGAGTTGTATGTTCATTATTCTCCTCTAATTTGCGTTTGTTATTTTGATTTTCAGTCATTAATGGTTTTATGAAGGGTTGTTTAATTTCTTCATAATTTATTTTTTGATTTTTTGTTGGTTTTTGTATAGTATTTGTGTTTTCTAACACATTTTCATACCCTATTTGATTTTTTCCTTCGGCACTATGTAATTTTTTTAAAGCTAGTTTGGCAATTTTTAGTTCACTAGTTCTGATTAAGTTATGCTTTTCCGTATTATTTATAACATTTTTCATTTTGGGACTTTCTAACTTTGTTTCTTCGGTAGCTGTATTATTTACTATGTTTGTATCAGTGGAATATGAGTCAAAATCATTGAAAAATTGTAAAACACCATCTTCTGTGAGTTTTTTGTTTTTAAAACTATACTTATCATGTTTAATTTTTTTAAAATACTTTGTGGCGTTGTTAACTAGGCTTTTATTATTCACTGTTAAAATGTTTTTATTTGGTATAAAAACATGAGCTAAAAATATAAACCAATCTGAAAACAAATTAGATAACAACCATCTTTTCCACATTAAATCATCTAAGTGCTTTACATATTTTCCAATAGCACTAATAAACATAGTTAATTTTTTTTTTATTTCATTTGGCAAGCTTAGAGAACTTTCTTCTATCACGCGAAATACACAAACTAAACAACATGATAGATATGCCATATTATATTTAGTACTATCAAATTTCATAATAAGTTTAGTTATTAAATCTGCAGTCAGCCAAGATAGAGAAGTTCCCCAAAGTTGATCAACTTTCGATAGATGATCATCTTTCATAAAATATAACGCCAAGTCATTTACAATTCTATGACTAAAAACCTCATCATCCATTTTAATAATTGTACAAATTTTAATTTTTAAGGTCTCGTTATCATTTAAATTTTCATTATCCTTTTTATCTGTAACAGATTTGTCAACATGTCCATCTTGACCAATTATAATTAAATTACTATGAAGAGGTGGATTTATAACTTCAATTTTATCATTTCCTGATGTAAGTTTCTTAGAATCTTGTGAATCTTCAATGCATATTTCATTGGCATATAAACTTGTTTGTTTGCTAAATAATTGTGATTCAGAAGTTTTCGAGTTATTATTTTCATGTACTTCAACAACGGAAGCCGCAAGATTTTCATTTATTTCGGTCCTATCATGAGACATTTGTAAACTATAGACATCACTGATCTTTCCTAATACAAATTCCTTAGAATTATTAGCCGTTAAATTCATTTTTTCGCTAAATAAATATGATTCAGTATTATTCATATCTACTTCAACAACAGGACTTACAGGACTTTTATCTTTTTCAACCAAATCATTAGTCGGTTGTAGACTAAATACTTCATCGATCTTACCGAGTGAAGTTTCATTATTATCACTAAGTAAACCATTATTATCTGTAAAATTAATAATTCTTGAGGAAAAACAATTGTTATTTGATTTCAATTTCAAATTGTTGAGTTCATTAATCATAAGAGTTTTATCTGATTTAAAGTATTTTTTTCCAAATAATTCTTTAATTTTTTTATTAATTCTACAATTTAATTTATGGCTTCTTTTCATTTTCGGTTTTGTTAATTTTGTAATTTCTTTACAAGGAGATTGGATCAACCTATAATAATATTTTAGAATAATTAACTAAAAATTAAAAATTACAATCAAGTAGAAAACTAAAATCAGTGTTGTTAAAGTTCCTTTTAAAAAATAATTTTTTCCCATTTCTCGTTCCTTATTTTAAAAAGGAACTCGTTCTGTTCCTCAATCATTAAAAAATGAATTCATTCCTGTAAACGTACCTTTTTTTTAAATATATATATAAATATCTAATGCACACCAAAATAATCTTTTTATATTCTTAATTTGAAAATAATAATATCACTAATGATTTTGCTTTGAAAGTATTCAAATATCTTATACAATTGATTTAACACTGAGGGTTTTCATTGGTTACTTGTGTAGATACCTAGTTTTCATAAAAAATAAGTGTAGTGCAAGTTGATCAAGTCAATTAAAATGGGAAACTATATTCTTACTTCTAGAATAGACATATTTAAAACCCTAATAAATTAAATTAAATTAATTTCCTTGTTAAAAATAAAATAATTGCAGTATTTTCGTTCCTATTCCTAAAAATAATGGAATTAATTCCTTCATTTGTTCCTCTAAAAAGGAATTTCATGAATTGTTCCTATAGAAACCCGATCCTCAACAACACTAACTAAAATCATGAATAAGGTTTATTTACGAATGTAAAAAATTTACTTTGTCCTTTTCTTATCGATCTTTTCAAGGTGTACATAAGATTTTTTCCCAATTTGTTCCATCATAGATATACATTTGTCCAAATCAAAGTTTGCATTGAGATAACACAATTCAAATATTTTCTAAAATATAAAATATATAATACATCAAATACATAACTATTAAATATTGCTTATATATGTGATCTAAGAAATTTTTCATGAAAATTAATTTACAATCTACAAATCAAGAACTATTTTTAAAATTGTTAAAAATTAATAAAACTAAAATAAACAATTAAAATATAATCTTATAATAATGAATGATAAATATTAGAAATACATGGTATAATAATTCTACATATATTTAAGTATTTCCACGGGTAATTTATTGTGCACAATTCTAAGCTTTTAATTATGTTTGATCGATAATAATTATTATTATCAAGCAGTATCTAATATTATTTAACAAAAGTGTATTTTATCATTTAAACTTATAAGTATTTTAACTTTATAAAAATTGTTTTTATAAATTTAAAAAAAAAACTCACATTTTTTTCCGAATCACGGCCTTTTAGATAGTCCTCTAGATCTTCATTTCTATCAGTTACATTTGTCCAATATTCTAAACAAAGTAATTATAAATAAAAAGATAAGTATAAGAGGAGTATTAGCTGCATTTACACGGTTCACTCTCGTTGATCATTTTGGATGAATCATTTATAATGAATTAAAAATTAACAATATAAACATGAAATCATTAAAAGTGAGCATCCACAATAATGATGATTTGTTAAATGTTGATGAAAGATGGTTCGTATTCAACTTTTATTATTTTGAGTGGTCATTATTTAACCAAAATTGAACTGTGTAAACGCTGCTTTCGTCATTACTACCAATAAAACATTTTTTTTTTTTTAAACCGGTTATAAAAGAAACCAAAAAACATTCATTAAGATAATGAATGAAATAATTATCAGTGAACCATGTAAACTATTTGTTATAGATGATTCACTATGATTCATTCAAAATCTTCATCAAGAGTGAACTGTGTAAACGCAGCTAAAAAATAACATTAGGATATTATGGTAACACAATTGATTTAAAATGCTGTTTAATATTCTCAATAAAATTATACAAATAGCTTTATACAACTGGATTACTAGATAATTAGATACTCATGATAGTTATAAATAGGATTATATCAGGTAAATCATTTTTTTTTTTAACTTACCATAAGAGGTATGTTTTCCTTTGTTTTTATCAATTTTATGATCCTTTACACAACTAGATAAATCTTCAACATCCGCATTCTAAAAAAATTAAGAAGATGATAATTAGTTAATTATTTGTAAGAATTGAATGTATTAAATATTCAAAGGTAGTATTAAATATAGTTAGTCTAATGATAATATGTTTAATATAGTTGATAATTAATTACTATAATTTGAGTTATAATTAAATAATAATAACAATATTATATTACGTCCAAAAAAAAAAAAGTGGTGAAATTTAATTTAATTATATTTAATACTATTATTAACTTATAAAAGTAAAGGATTTTATATATATAGTCAAACCCACGACACCATTCTCTATAAATTAAATTTCAAAATCGGTACTTTCACTCTAAAATCAAAATTAAGCCAGTTTGACTTATTCTGCGGAAGCATTGTTTATGGGTATTAACTGGTAATTGAACTGAGACAGTAAATGCGAGTGAAACATCCTCTTAATGAAAAATAATAAAATATTGTATATTAGTATTACTTAAGTACAGTAAAAGTATGTAAAATATATTGTCGGGCTAATGATGTCGAGCTAATAATGTACAATTGAATGTCGGGAAAGTGTACTGATCCCGTAATATTATTTTTTTACATTTTACACGAAAAATGATATCCCGATAAGACAAAAAATAATACCAATCATTTTGAACTGCAGGACTTTTTATTAAACATATTAAACAAAATAATACACCAACAAAATTAGCAAAATAATTCTGAGGGAAAATCCAGTATCATTTAATAAATTACCCATGTTTCGTGTCGGGTCGCGTTTAAATTATCATTAAATTTATATTTATAAGAACATTTTTTTTTTTTTTTAATATCTAAAATATAGTTACAATACGACAAAACACGTTAATATTTCAACGTGTGATTAGATAAGAATGGTTCGACGAACCAAAACGTTTGTAAAGTTAAAGAATATGAAGGAAGTGTGCACACATAATACTAAAACCATAAATAATCGTTCCGAAATCTGGATCTAAAATAAAAATACAAAAAGTTCAAAACATCGACAATTTTTTCGATACATCGAAGACTAACATACATGTATCGAACAAAAACATCGATTAAAATCATCTAGTAAAAACTCGTTGAATTTTCATTATTAAAAGCATATATTACAAAACTAATAAAGGACAATATTTTTGAGTACATCACCACGGAACGTATTATTTTCTTGAATATTAATTGTTTGAAAAGTTACGAACATTTTTTAAAATAATTTGAAATTGTCATTATTTCTAAACAATGCGATCTACAGAATAATATTCATTGTATTCGCAATAATGGAAAAAAAATCATAGTAATTTCTCTAGAATATTTTCCTCTTTTCAGTAATATAATCTGTGTTTTAAGTCCAAAACTAAAAATAAGCAATTTCTACACAAGCCGCGTTAACATGTCTTGACGCCGTAAAGTTATCTCATCCACGTTGTAATAAACAACAAGGTATGATATAAACAAGCGTAATTCTGTGTCTCAAACTGCGCAAATATGGCGCTGGTCTTACGCCGTTTCTGAGTGGTTTATAATTTTTGGCGGTATTTTGAATCGTATTCTTAAGCCAGAGTTATAATTTGATATCACAATTTAACTCACAGTGTACGGAATAATACCCTGAATAATATATAATCATAAACCAATAAGAAGCGGAGAAAGACCAGCGCCATATTGGCCTATGAAGTGATGGGTAATAAAAAAGAAGGGTGACGTGCACTTTTTGCCCGTGCGTTTTGTGTCCATTACCTTTTTCGTGCGTTTTGCACCCGTTATGGAAATCTTTACTTGCTATATAAAAAAAAAATAGAAGTATAAGACGGACTAATCGCACAAAATTTAAAATTATGTAAAATTAATATAATATAATTGTATAAAATTGACAAATTATTATAGTCTACCTTCCTTGTATATTTGAAAATCCGAACGTAAAGTAACCTTAGTAGTATTTTGATTTTTGATGCGTTAAGCTGGAAACGCATCGGTCGCAACAATTTGTGGCGAAATATTTTAATGTGCAGTAAAAAATTCAGGTATAAACGCACCAGCTGCAACATTTTGAAACTGTTTAATTACAACAATTTTATTTCAGTACACGATTATCATCAGTTGTATCGACAAGTTTATTTAGTCTGTTGTCTCTAAAACTGAACACGGATAAACAAGTATTTGGATTTAGAAAATGAAAAACAATATAGATTTTGGGTTCACGCAATCAACTAGAAGAGAAATATTTCTGATTTTATTCATGAGCTTAAAAACGATCCAGACCAATTTTACGACTACTTCCGAATGAATATTAAAACCTTTTATGAGCTCTTAGGTTTAATTGAAAATGGAATAAAGAAATCGAATACAAATTTTAGGATAAATATTTCAACTGAGGAAAGATTGTTGATAACAATAAGTATAGTAAATATAGTTAATATACGACTGAGCACTATGGGCGTTGCGATGAAACTGTTGTCGTAAGTCTTCGGCAGCGCAACAGCGCCCACTTGTTACAATACACAGCACAACGTCGAGAGCCAATGTCGCACGTAATGCGCATCAGTCTTATTTGATTCTACAGAAAACGTTGAGCAAGAAATTGTTGGAGCCGGTGAGTTTCCAGCCCAACAGTGAACATTTGATCGACAATAATAACATGGTTATTGCCTAATGGTTATCTGAAGTCTAAATCGATTTATAATTTATATTACATAATGATAATTATGATGGAAAACCAACGCGTATAAAGTCACGTGAAATATTGTTGCAAAACTATTAATAAACTATTAATACCCATCGGTTATCGTTTGTTCGGGAATCGGAATCATAAATACAATTTGACAATTTTATATGATTGCATTATATCACATTGGTTTTATATAATTTTTAAGATTTGAGTGAATAGTAATTAAGCGATTCGTGTAACGGATTGTATAATTTCGGCGTGGTTTTAGACGAAATTCGGACACCAATTTGACAATATATGATAATCAAGTTACCGAGTCGTTATCCAACGCTAGATGCGTATTATTTAACGTGAATAAATTATCACACGAATAGAAATAATTGATATTCGTAACTTCGTGTCAAATTGTTTTGTAAATTTAATAACAAGGTGTTTATAAGATTATCAAAGATTTCCGTGATTTCCAAGTATATTTGTATCTGCTAGTGATTTACCCAGTAATAATCATAAATTCCATAAATAAATATATAATCAGTGCGCTAATAGCGTTATATATATTCATTATATAATCATTAAAGAATAAGTAGAGAATCAAACGGGATCAATAGAAAAATCAATAATATTAATAATGTGTTATTCCGGGTTTTGCCCAACTATTAATATATTCTGGGCTCATGGTACAGTGCGTTATAGAATGTTTAGATCGCGAAAAGTTGAACATTTTTTTAATTTTTCGTTATAATGTTGTAACTGGCCCAACGCGGGAGATCGGAGTTGAAGCAGGCATAGGTATTATCGAGTTGACATTACAAAAAATACAAGTTCAGGGAACAAGTCCCTATAATTTATTCTTCGCGAAAATACTCTTTGTCCAATACATTACATTCAAATCTGACGATGATTCGGGCGGCGTTATACATAAAATATGCTCGGGATGTGCCCCGCGACTAGGGTTGCCATACGTCCCGGAAAACCGAGACTGTGACCAGTTTTTGACTTATTGTACCGATGTCCCGATGTTCCGTCGGTACGCCAATACGTCGCGGTTTTAAGAAAAATGGAAATTTTTTAATTTCGACATTTTCTCCGAATAGTAACTAATCGAGAGATAACGAATGTCACGTGCACACCCGCACGCTACTATATGTACACGCGCGTGAACCCGAAGTGATTGTTGTTAAAAAAGGGGGACCGCAGCCGAAACCGGGAGCCAAGACTTCTATAAAAAGCAATAAATTAAACTTCACGAAACCATTTTAATCGAAACCGCCGAAATATAATAAATACGTCAAGGGTGCGGTCAGGCATAAACACCGGTCGTATAGCGAAACGATACGGAATGACAGGATATTCCGAATAACGGGAGCCGCGGCGTTGCGACGACGCCGACGCGTAACAACCAAAACAGGGGAGAACCAAAACCGAAAACCGTAAAAGCAAACACGCAAATAACCGATGAGAAATACTTGGGCAAATTATCTCGGGAAGCACGGAACACGTCACGAACGAAACATTGTAGACAGCCTCACTGCGGACGACGGGTCCCGGGGGTCCCTCCGAGCATGTATAACGCCGCCTGAAACATCGTCTGGTCAGACGGGTCCACCACGACAAAACGCGAACAGCTTCGCGTCACTCTGTCTTATGAAATGTTTTCGTGGGTTTTATTAAATAGGACTTGGAATGTTTTTGAAGATTATAATAATGGAATGCATAATTTATAAAAAAAAAAAAAAAATTGAATATGATTCAATCATATTTTTGGTTAAATTTTATTTGCTATTTTTTCTATTCATCCCGGATTTACTTTATGAAATTATGGCGACCTTACCNAAACGCGAATAACTTCGCGTCACTCTGTCTTATGAAATGTTTTCGTGGGTTTTATTAAATAGGACTTGGAATGTTTTTGAAGATTATAATATTGGAATGCATAATTTATAAAAAAAAAAAAAAAATAAATACAATGTTTTAGTTTATAAAATGATAAATCGAAATTTATCATATTAATATTTTAATAAAAACATTTTTTTTAATACATATAAGTTATATAAGTATCAAATATGATTCAATCATATTTTTGGTTTAATTTTATTTGCTATTTTTTCTATTCATCCCGGATTTACTTTATGAAATTATGGCGACCTTACCCGCAACCCGCTGACCATAGTCGCGACCATCTATATTATTTCGTACGTGACATTTTTTTATATTTCCTAGGGTTATTCCATCTACATTTTACTCATCGGATGGTGCGTGTGAAAATGTACAACGACCGGGTATTATTTCATGGTTAATAATTTTAGGCCCGAGTTGTGTCCTTCGGATACCTAAAATTTACAAAGTCGGCTCTTTCACAGCATTAAGTTGACTCTCATCACGCCCGCATAGTTTATTTGTTCGTTTCGGGTCCACACGCTGAGTTGTTCTGTCGATCTACTACGGACTCTCCCGTGTGAATATAATACGAGGTGTGGCTATTAAATAACGAGACTGTTCGCCTAGAGGGCGCCCTAGACGGGTAGTGAAAAAAACGAATAATGCGTTGGGTATCTAGATATCTTATCTATGCACGTAACAAAACACGTTTTCGTCACTATTATAGTATTTGTGCAGTAGTGGTTTGAAACGAACGTGTTTTTTTCTCGTGCCGAAAAACATGAGCAACGGATAAACGTAAAATTTTCTCGTTAAACTAAAAAAAAACTCCAACTGAGTACTATAAGTTGTTAAAAGAGGCCTATAGTAAGGATTTCCTATCTCGGGCGTATGTTTTTCAGTGGCATACATTATTTTCTGAAGGTCGAGAGTGCACCGGAATCCAATTCGGTCGTAATCCAAATTCAAAACCGTTTTCTTCGATATCAACGGCATCGTGATGACTGAATGGGTTCCAGAGGGTCAAACTGTGAACCAACATTACTATTTGACAGTTTTGGCAACATTGCGCGAATGAGTTCGTAAGAAACGGTCGATATTGTGGAAAAACAAGTCGTGGATCTTGCACCAGGATAAAGCGTGAAGCATTATTTGGCCGCTTAAGGCACTCCAGTACTCGAACACGCGTCTAACTCACCCGACTTGGCAACCTGCGACTTTTACTTGTTTCCGAAGATAAAGTCTGCCTTAAAAGGAATCCGGTTTGAGTCGATGGAAGAGGTGAAACAAAAATCGGCGGAACTCCTGAATGGTCTTACGAAAACAGACTTCCAGCACTGCCTCGAGCAATGGAAGAAACGAATGAAACGGTGTGTGGCGAGGGGAGGGGAGTATATTGAAGGGGAGCATTTGAATGTAGAATAACTTTTATAATAAAACACTTTTTCGTAACCAGTCTCGTTGTTTAATAGCCACACCTCGTANCTAATTATAACATATTATAGTTCCATAATAATACATAATAGAGGGTATACCTAATAATAAATAATAGTAGTATAACAATAATGATAATGGTATATACTTGAGTATATGTTATAATTCCAACACATTATTAAATTAAGCCTACACTATTGTTTTTTCAGGGATATTTTCAATAGGACAATACCTAAAGGCTACCTGACTATGAGAACAATAATTAAACAGTTAAAAAAATGGAGATTTTAGTTATAGGTAAAATTTATAATTAAAATACGAGATGAAATGATAGGTATCTACATTAAAATTAAGAACTAAATTAGGTAGGTTACTATCAAATTGTTAAATTCTGGCCTACTTGACACTAATATATTTGTACATACATTAAAAATGATCAAATTAGTTTTTAATGTAGCGCCATTTAATGTTGTGTCCAATATTTAATATAATACGTGGACTGAAAAATATTATAACTAAATGGGCGGTTTAACTTAATCAATAACTTTTACTACAGTAATTATATAACTAAAACTAAATGGTAAAAATCACATTAAGTGTTACTAAGGTGATTATGTAATTGTATGTGTTAGCTGGTAAACCGCTGATAACATCACCATTGTCGATATGAACGAATACATATCGTTCAAATACAAAAATATTTAAACAGAAAAATAAAGGTACCTAAATGCAAAACAAATTAATAAATATAATGTATAAAATAAATAACAATGCAAAATCTGGAATATCATAAGGGTCGTGTATAAATACAATAAATTGGTTTTGATTTAAAAAATTATTATCAGGTAATAGAACAGCAAAGGCGGAAAACTTACTAAAACCCCGTCGATTGGCTAGTAGATACCTACAGTAAATTAGTATGTTTGTAAGAGTATCATACTTGTATCCTAAGGTGAACGGAAATGTTTTAAAGAATGTATGTCGACCACTTTTTCATCCTAAACAAATTATTTATTTAGTGTTAAAAATTGTAACTGTAACTTGAACCGTAGACCTGGTAATATAATACAACGTTACGAGTATGGAGTCGGAGTAGGAATAGGTATTATCGAATTGATATTACAAAAAATAACAAAAGTTCAGAAAATACTCCAAGTCCAATTAAATTAAATTCACAAAAATATTACAAGTCCAAAAACGGTTATAAAACAGAGTGACGCTAAGAGTTGCTCGCGTTTGATCGTGGCGGGGACTCGTCTGGTTAAGACGGACGTTCCGGGCGGCGGTAATGTATGCTCGGAGGGGTCGTCCCGGCAACCCGCCGTTCATAGTCGCGGCCATCTACAGTATTTCATTCGTGACACTGTTCTTCCGTACATCCTGGGAACAAGTTTGTTCGGGCATTGCCAATCGGTTTTATGCGTTTTGTTACGGAAACGATATGTAGTCTTGCGACAGTTGTTTTGGGCCTAACCGCGCCCTCGGTAAACTTGTTATATTCCATATTGCATTGCATCGTTTTCCGAAAAGAGTGCAATTGCATTTTAATGTCGATTCGGTTCTCCCCGGTTTTGGTTGTTGACTTTACTGTAGTACGCACATTTAATTACGCACGTATACCTATGATATGGCGCGTGGCCCAGAACATAATATTTATGTTATGTTGTAATACGGTTTCGGTAATTTTTCAGTAAATAAGCTTTACTGAATACAATACATTAGACACAATAGTAATTAATAGATTTTAATCTTGGAATAAGTGTCAATATTGACTTTTCCTGAATTTAACATTTTAAGTTTCTTTGTATTTAGGTACCTGCCTATAAGTAATTAAAAATTAAAACTCTAATTAAAACAAAAATGCCATCAAATACATTATATTTACCTAGATCACAGAACAAACATTATATTATTTGGAAAGAATCTAAAAAAGGGGTAAACCGTGTACAAATAAAAAAGAGCTGATTCAGGGGGCGGGAGCGGCCACTTTTTTAGGTGAGAAGTTGGAAAGGTAGGATACATAAAGTTATTTCATTTATATCTTTAAGCAACGATAAACCATTGCTTGACGAAAGATGATTCCGAGCGCAGTTCGGCAATACATAACTTTTGCGATTTTCGTTTAAATTTGATTTCAAAACGCTTATTAAAAAAAAAAAAGTCGTTTGAAAATTTTGGTAATTTTACGTCTAGTTAAGTCCAATATAAGTATTATAACCAAGTTATAAGTCTCTACGTGTATTTATAACCGAATGACAGAAAAAAACTCCCAAAAATTAAAATTCGTTAAAAGCTCAAAAGTTTTGGCGACGATACCGTTAGAAAGTCAATTAAAAAGACAACAAAAATTATTTTTTGTGGTTTTTTGATTATATCATTTTTTCTGGTAGAAAACGTCATCCGTATTTTTATAAAATAATGAAATCGTGAAATTGTACGTTTTCCTACGTTTTTTCTCACATTCTCGCTCACACATATGTTTCTGCGTGACAAGGAGAGTAGTAAATCCCTGCAAGAGAGAGAGAGAGAGAAAGAGAGTGAGAGAGCGGTTAATAGTAGTATCAATAATTATGTTGGCCAACGGATTTTTATGGAATACCTTATTCACGTGTTTAATATCTATGGTGTGGGTCAAGTACCAAAGAAAAAAACGGGTATCTATAGGTTATTATAGGTATCAACCGCTGTATTAGCCTTGAATTATTTTATCATATCGACCCTTTTGAAAGTGGAAAGACATATTTGTATTATAAATAAATTCTAAACGATTAATAGATTATAAAAAAAAAAAAAAATTATAAAAATAAATTAAACCTGCGAAACGATCTTACCTGCCGAAAAAACAAAGAAACAATAAAACCTTCATAGTAGTTGTGCATCGGCTTGACAGTGACTCTATGGACTTGGATAGTAAACGCGACACGTTTCAATAACGTGAGAAAACTTTTAAAGGAAAAAAAAAAATAGAAAAAGAAACCGAATAAATTAATACGGCAGAAGCGTGGTGGGAGGGGGGAATTTAAGACGGAGTCCTCCCCGACTTTTCGGTAATTTATTACAAAATTAAAACGAACACGAATAGCTAGTAGGTAGATACCATTGTGATAGATACTTGTCGGTATAAAATAATTACGTCAAGACCGGTAGAACATCGCGCGGACACGCGAACGGGTTTAAAAAAAAACGTCCGTCATCCCTTACCCGCGACTCGGGTCGGGTGGTCATTCGCGAATGAAAAATGTCAAAAAAATCGAACCGTCTCTACACTCGCGGTCCGACAAATATTATAATCTGGATTATACGCGCGAGAAAATATGAAAACAATAATAGGTATTATGTATGGTACAGGTACACGCTTACGTTGGACGAGTCAATATTTTTTCGTTCGGTCTGTTCGTCGCTCGGATGATCTGGGTCGCCTTTATTTAAAACCGACGTTATCCCTGGGTCCACGTTTTCGGGGCGATTGTCCACGGCGACAGCGGTGTCGTTGGTATCATCGTCATCGTCATCGTCGCTCGTCGAGAATATGATTCTCGTAAAAGTTCGCGTTTTCTTCTTTATCCGCTTCTTACGCGACAGACGGCCGTTTCTTTTCTTCCGCGAACAAACGCCGTCGCGTATGAAGGAGTTCATCGGTCTTCACGTGCGTGTAACGTGCCCGCGCCGAAAAAAACGCTCTGCCACGACAACAACCGGATACCAGAAATCCAACTCGCCTCCCAAGCTGGACCGTCCGCAGCGGAGTAATCTTGTGGAGGCGAGAGAGTAAACGAACAAAAATTAAGTGGCTCGGGGTAGGGAGGAAAAAACCCGTCGTCAATAAATCGACCGACAACGGAGGTAGACAGCGGTCTTGATATTATGTATAACAATTATAGTTTACGTTTGTAACATCGTGTAAAACGGTGTACATAGATCAATACAAAACGGACGTAGCGGCGTTTCGTTTGCGAGATAAAACGCAAGGCGGGAAGGCAACGAACGCGAAACCGACGGCGAGGCGATAACGCCCGGCGGAGCGAACGCGAAACGATTACTAACCGGTGCGGTGCGAACCGAACCGGGTCTCCGATGAGTGACGTCGCGACGGTGCGGGCGAATGCGCAGTACTGCGCGCCCTCTAGGCCGGACGAACGTTGGACGCTCTAGGTGTCGTCGCCGTTGTCCGGCGGGTTCGTTTTCAAGGTCGGTATGCGCGTGGTGGCGGTGACTGCAGCGATTGCTGCGGTATCCGTAGCGCTGGGTTCGGAAACGCGCGCTCCACCATCATCAAAAATATTGTAATACCTATGCCTACCACGAAATCCGAACCGGTACGGTGGGTACGCAATAACGGTTTCCGCAAACGTTTTCATATTTTATTGTCGCCTCGACACTGTGCGGACGGTAACCGTCTTTTTGATTTTTTACACCGTCGAGTCCGTAATATTTATGTTATGGGAACCGGTGGTTTTCCGTCTTTGTCGTGCGACACGCGCGCGAAACAGGAATCGTTGTAGACGGGCTCTATTTCCGGCGTACCGATCACCGCTGAATAAACAGATTTGAATTTGTTGTCGAGTCGATAACTCGATAACGATTTTCTCTAATGTTTGATTTCGTCCTCGTAAATCCGAAAAAGGCCATTGTGAAAAACAGACTGGAATGTTTTCCGAGAGTCGTTTTAAATAATACATCGAAAGGGTGGCGGTCGACCCCAAGTTGACTCGACGACAAATTCGAATACGCTTTCGGAAAAGTTATTCGCGTCCCTTCACTAGGACGATCGGCATACGTTGGGAATAGAACACGTCTAAATGCCTATGTTGCACGTCACGTGCAAGACAAAATATCACCGGTTCCAATATGGATAGTAATTTCTAGCTCGGTGGCTTCGCCCGTCGTACGCGAACACGGAAACCTATTTATACGTGACTTCCTCCTAATAACGACCGTTATCGATAATATTAATAATACACTAACAGCCGCGTCGTAATCGACATTCGGCCGTCGTCGTGTTGTTTGGTTGGAAAAAAAAAACGTAGGAAAACCAATAAGCTACGCTCGGAACCATAAAGGTACGATATAAATAGTATGGGCGATGGGATGTTGATCAATAATACTGTTACCACTTGTACGAGGACTCCGTCTTGAACTCCCCCCTCCCACCACGCTTCTGCCGTATTAATTTATTCGGTTTCTTTTTCTATTTTTTTTTTCTTTTAAAAGTTTTTTCACGTTATTGAAACGTGTCGCGTTTACTATCCAAGTCCATAGAGTCACTGTCAAGCCGATGCACAACTACTATGAAGGTTTTGTTGTTTTTTTGTTTTTTCGGCAGGTATCATCGTTTCGCAGGTTTAATTTATTTTTATAATTTTTTTTTTTTTATAATCTATTAATCGTTTAGAATTTATTAATAATACAAATATGTCTTTCCACTTTCAAAAGGGTCGATATGATAAAATAATTCAAGGCTAATACAGCGGTTGATACCTATAATAACCTATAGATACCCGTTTTTTTCTTTGGTACTTGACCCACACCATAGATATTAAACATGTGAATAAGGTATTCCATAAAAATCCGTTGGCCAACATAATTATTGATACTACTATTAACCGCTCTCTCACTCTCTTTCTCTCTCTCTCTCTCTCTCTCTTGCAGGGATTTACTACTCTCCTTGTTACGCAGAAACATATGTGTGAGCGAAAACCATTGTTTCTCTTTTTGTTATGTTGGCCTATGCATGCTTGTAGAGCGAGAATGCCTTATCCGTATGTTTAATATCTATGACTTGCACCAGTTTTTCAAAGATACGTAGGAAGTAGAAATTAATTGGTTTGTGCTCGGTACAATCGTAGATAATAAAGAAGTACTTCCTGAAGCAATAATTGTAAGTGAGGCGATTTATCATTCATCACTATATAGATTAAACAGGGGATAAAACGCTTCACTTTATGCAACTTTAAAATTGTCCGTTTTAACAAAAACGTACATTTTTTTATATTATAATTTACACCATGTAGAATCGACACCTACATATTTGATAATGTGTTTGGTGAGAGTACCATGTATTCCTTTTCAAAAATATACCTAGTAAAACGTGTACACCTTTTTTTTTGAAACGAATAATGGTTTTGAGTAACTATGCCCGTTCCTCTTAAAACACTGATAATGGTATGGATGGCATATCTTTATTATCTATGAATACGATTTCAAGTTGGAAGCTGAAGTAATTTTGAAGTAAAAGCCTCCCCCATATTGACCGTATTGAAATACAAAAATAATATAAATTATTTATTAGTGAAACATTAATAATAGTAATAAAATAATACTCTTTGCACACATTTTCACTACTCAAGTATGTACAAATACTTATGTACTTCTTAGGTACTATATGTATTTACTTATGCAAAATAACCTCAAGAAAAATACTATATACAATACATATAGACATATCTTCTGCAGGATAATATTCTTTTCATTTTCTATGTCTTGCTTTTTTTGAAAAATTCTGGGTGCGTTATTGTATTATTAAGTAGATATCGGATCTAATGATCATCATGATTCGAAAAGCGTAAATTATTTATAGAAAAATAACCTATACTATACATACTTGTTTCACGACGAACGAACTCATCGCGTTTTCCAAAGAAATCATTAAATTTCCTTGTAAATTGTACTATCTATGACTCATAGGTGCCACGTACGTTATTGTATATCTGTATAATAGTGTGGATTATTTTTAATCAATAGATAACTAATAAAATACAATTTTTGTCGGTTCCGATTTAATATTATGTACACCGTTCGGATCTACGAGTGAAATGACTTACAAACTTAACGTACCGACATTCTTATATAGACTTTTTGTGACTTTATCTCCTTGAATCTTCACCTTATAAATTAAATGTTTGCTGCATTGTATTAGTGTATATATTTGCATTGTTGAAAACTCGGATAACATAATGTTATCAGAAAACATTTCTTTAGAAACGTAATAAAATTATGTATAACTCAATTAATTATTAAATAAATAGATATATATAATATGCTTACACAATAATGCTTTATCATCACGTTTTATTTTTACAACTAAACAACGGGCGATAAAATATATTATATTTAAACATAATTATTGAATACAATTTATAAATATGTTGCATCCGTATCATTAAATTTTTTTTTACAGGAAATTAATATTCTTTAGTTTACGAGCATTTGTTATGTAATATTCAAATTATGTAAAATTAAACCGGTTCAGTAATTTCGTTAAATAATATAATATATTAATACATCATAATAATAATATTATTATTATGTATAGGTATGTAAACAGAGTACGAAGGTAATAAATTATACACCCATTGGAATATCTCCTGAGATAATAAAGATAGTCAAATTCTATATTTTTTTTTTTTTTTTTAATACTTATATACATTCTTCACAGGGGTATACACAAATATTTATATTTGAATGACATTTTTATGTTTTGGTAAAAAACTGAAAAAAAATTACTTTTTATTCTATTATTTTCGAAAAATTTGAAGATTTTATAGAAATTCTTCTGAAAATTTGGACGTTCCGACGTTTTGCTTTCATTAAAGTTATGATTTTTTTAATCATTATTTTAAGTTCAAAGTAGTACAGTTCATAGCACCTATAATTATGCAGCAAGCTGTAATCGCATTCGCTAATAGATTATTATTACTATATTGTAATTATCATTATTATTATGGCTAATAATTGACTGTACATTTTTTTTCTCTGAACTTTAAAAAATGATTAAAAATCACGAATATAATGAAAATAAGAAGTCAATACCTAACCTACGTCTAAATTATCAGAAGAATAAACTCTATAAAATGGATATCTTTAAATTTATCAAAAAAATTTAAAATAAAGTAATTTTTTAAAGTTTTTTTACCAAAACATACAAATTGATTGAAATATAAATATTTGTCGTCCTTATCTCTGTGAGTAATAAAAAAAAAAAGTATAAATTACTAAGGTAGTCAAATTAATAACGACGGTGATGAAATATATTATCGTAGTTTATCATAAATCGCTTAAATTTAATTTAATTTTTCAATTTCAATTATGTCGTTTATAACTAAAATAAACGTAGTCTGAATATGAATCCCGTAAAGTATAAAGGTTTATTGCTCACCGATGAATATAAATATAAATATAATTAATAAAATACAATTTTTCAACTCTCTTTAATTCGAATTATTTATTCCCCCCTCCCTCTCATTTATTTGAACACTCGGTAAATCGAATTTTTATCTCGGTCCTGTAAATTTCGAATTATCAAATGCCCCCCGGATATTATTCGTCTCAATCATGAAAAAAAATAAAGAAATTCCTATTGAAAAATAGGGAGTTATATAATGAAAAATATTGAAAAATTGCCAACAAATTGAAAATTGCATTGAAAGTTGTGTGCGTTCGACAGAAAACTCGATTTAAAGACACTGGCAGTTATGACGACCGTCCTCAGACTGGAAGCAGTTTTTTAGAGCGAAAAAAAGCTGATGGTGTACTTGAAATATATGATATGGCCACCGCAATTCCTTCAACCCGATCGAACTTTTGTGAGAAAATCTTGCTCACAAAAAAAGAACATATTGTCCAGTATCCACTGGGAACTTAAAAAAAATTAAAAAGGCATGAGCTTTCTTGGAACAGAAAACATTAGATAAACTTGTTAAAAGAATTCCACGACTAGTGAGAGCAATCATCAAAAGCAAGGATTGGATTTTTTAATGAAAACTAATCTGATCTCGATACGGTTTTTTTTCTGTAACGAAGATGTATGAACACGTTCTTTATTTTTTTGTGTTTACGTGGGATGCATATTCACCTATGATACACCAGTACATGTATTTAAAACGTGTATTACGATAATTTTGTATATTATAATATGCAGGGGGTTTTAATAGCATCGATAAACGAGGACATTTATGTTATTAAAAAGGTGCACGTGCGATGATTGGTTGACCCGGGTGATAAACCTAATGCTAAAGATAAATTACCAAGTCACTCAAAGTCAGTCGATCACGCGAAGCCACGGACAAGTATTATAAAAGGGAACTTGGAACTGGGCATTCGGTAGATGTATCTGACCTAAGTTCTTGCCAGCACCTTGACGTCAGACGTAATACCACTCGCATTATAATATACGACATGATTTCTGATTATATTGAATTGGATTTAAATAAATTATAATAAAATCATCTATTTTGAAATTACAAACCAAGGTTCCTTTTATGAAATTAATTTTTTCGTGTTGTTGAAATCGTAGATTTTTGATGAAAAAAAATTTGATCTTAATCTTTTCATTGAGAAAAAATGCAAAAAAAAAAAAACGGAAACTTGTATCTGTACAGTCGGGTATTGTAACCGAGACTGCCTACTCTAACCTAACGCCCTATCCACTAGACTACCTAATATTGTAGAGTTGTTGGTTTTATGAAAATTATATAAGTTATCAAATTAATTTCAAAATATTATAATATAGGTACCTTCTTATACAGTGACATCTTGAAATTTCGGCTTTTTTGAGAACAAGAACTTTAACCTCCCCTGACTAGTGAACACCAGTGCCAGAAGGAAAGCGGAAGGGGTGGGGGCGACCCCCTCCCGTTTTTTTGTTTATTAGATATTTCGGTGATTTTTTCGTTCAACATATAACTTAATGGTACAAAAAATGGACATCCATTTGGTAACTTGTATATAAATGATAAGTCCCCCCCCCAAAAAAAAAAATAATAAAAAATATTGGCTACGGTACGGTAGCGTAATTTTAATCGTAATAATATTTGTTTACATTAATACGTTTTTCCGATTCGGCGATTTCTAAAATGTATAATCAATCGGTCGTTATATAGTAACGGTTGGGTCTATACTCCGAAAACTCCCGAAAATATTGATATTATTATAGATATTGTTTATGCAGCTATCCGCGGGCATACATTGAGACAAACCCGATAATAAACCGCTAGGCTCCAACGTAGAAAATATTTATTTAAAATATTATATATTATTATTAGGACCCGGAATTATATGCACTTAAAACGTACGAAATATGCATGCATTTATGTGATGGTTATCATTCAAATATGCACTCAAAATATGCAAACAAAAATGTATGTTTACTATTTATTAAATTTATTTGATTTTAAAATGTATATAATTCATTAAATAATTAATATTGATCAAAAAATATATCAACTGTATTTTATATATTTTATTGAACTGTATGGAACTGTATGTTGTATTGAAATTGAATTGTATTTTGAAAATGCATTCATCTAAACAAAAAGTCATGAACGAAAATCAATTTAAACAAATCAAGCGGATTTTCATAATATTTGTATAGTCACCTGGAGAGTTATAGTTAACTGCTAAAGACTTAGATTTTCAAATAAAAACACGTTGGTATTCAGAAAATATATTCTTGAATCGAGAAAAACTCCGTTCTACATCCGTTGAAGATATTGGAGCATAATTAATGTATACTAAGTCACTGCTTGAAAGGTCTTCTGGTATATTGTTCGTTGAAGTATTTTCTCCAGTTATAATTTTGGATATATGTGATAAATGCCGAAATCCATCGTTTGTTTCAATAACATTTTTAAATTTATTATATATTTCAACGCCTTTTGTAAAAGATACCTCTTTAAACTTATTTTCAACAATTTTAATGAAATCAGCTAACGGAAGACATTGCTTTTCTTAGCTTTTTATAGCTGTTTTTGATATTCCATAATTTGAATAAATAAATACTAAATTGGCTTCCAAAGTGTTTTCTTCAAACATTATTTTTTTTACTTTTTCGATGGATATTACGTCCTCTGCACTTAACTGCTGAACTATATTTAATATTGGTTTAAAATATTCACAGTAACCGGAGGTATAAAGATATCTTTACCTGTATATTTTTCAAGAAACAAACAGACATGTTTATTTTCCAATTTTTTCAAAGGGATATTTGCTAGGAGCAATGTGTTGCATAAATATTTTGCGAACATAGATTTGCCCGGTATATTGGGCAATAATTTCTGAGATTTTGATTTATTCTCATTTTTTGCAAATTAAAAGCTCGAATGTGTCTCGAATCTGTTTTCAGATGCTGTGTGACAGTAAAGCGCTTTGCATTATTGAATTTAATCGCATATATTTTACAAAAAAGAATTCCCCCATCAGATGCAAAAATATGTTCTCCGAATTCCGCTACATATTTATGAACGGACAATTGTACTTTT